AGCAACTTAAGCGTAACTAAATCCCTTTTCTAACAGATGTATGGCAGATGAGTCTGTCACAGTGGCTGGAGGAAGGAGGGGAGGGGGTGGGCAGTCGCTTCTTGACTGGCAATAGAGAGAGAGATGGTTAAATGGATGGACGGATGGATGGATAGGGACGCTCGTTTCTTGGATGTCAGGGAAAGATGTACGTGGATGGATGGATGTAGTCTATTAAGTTTTAGCACTATGGAGATCCTCTGACCGGCGGGGAAGTGACAGCTGTTGTGAATGAAGAGATGCGAGACACGGATTCATGTCTTTTCACTGACTATTTATGCATATAAACAGTTTTTTTAGTCAATGGAAAAGAAGATTTGAGGGCCAAGACTGTAAAGGAGTGGGTCTTTTTTTTATTAATTGACGATTAAAGTTGATTTATTAAACTATTCGGAGGTGACAGAACTACACTTCGCTGTTTAAACGTGTGGATGTCATGACGTTATAGTTCTTAAAAAGCCTTTTAATTGCATTGTTTCTACAGAGAGGATTTGTGAAAATACTGCAAACGTTTTGAGGTAAACTACAAATAGCTAACTTAAACCATAAATGAGGGATTTTATCTTTCTTAGAGAGCCAGAATTGTAAATTTGCGTAACACTGTTGTACATCCATGCTCATAGATATTAGTAATATCACAAGCTGGTGGCCTCCTTCACCTGTTGCTCTGATGACAGCTGATAAAGGCTGAAAACAACTGATCAACCAATAATGTCATGATCACCTACAATTAAGGCTATTTAATGGGCTGAGAACATCGGAAATTGAGTGAGGATGTTTACAGTGATCAAGCCGGCACACTGATGCTCAGCATGTTAACTGTATTTACTTGGTGTGCTATGTTATATGTCTTTATGGTTTTAGATACAGTTGGCCAGCTGTTGAGTGGTCACATTTGCAATTTTGATTTTTATGTTTGCAATCTAGCTTACAGCTTTCCTCGGCCTGCTCCTTGTGCTACTTAGAATTCAACTCAAATTAACTAAATTAGCTGTGCAGGTATTTAGTTAGAAACTCAAATATTGGGCAAATTAAAATTCCGATTTAATGACAGCACGAAAAAGGAAAAGCCAGAGGATAAGCAAAGTTAATATAATTCATCCATGAATGGGAAATTGAATGTCTAGATGAAATTTCTCTACAATTCATCCAATAGCTGTTGAGCTAGTTCAGCATGACTGACGCTACTATCCACAGAGAAAATACTGAAGGCTACAGAGTACACACTTAGACGGGTCGGGAGCAAAAATCCTTATTACAGTGTCATTTCCTTTGGTAACATAACACAAAACAATAAAGCTCAAATAAAGCAGCACTGGTACACTTCAGCTCAACAAACAAATGATCCCAATTTTGTTGAAGGACTCGACTACCGCAGACCTAATCAGAGACAAAGGGAAAATGTGCACTCCGGCTTGATAGCGCGTATAAGCAGCAGTCAGAAACAAACAGGGGAGTCGAGGAACAGACACAGAGGTTGGAGAAGGGAAGGGATGTCTGGTCTGGTAATCTGCACTCGGCTGCCTCGTCGACCCTGGACGGACAGATGTATAGATCGTCTTTCAACTGCACTTCATTGGACTTTACTTTTACACTGCTGTCACGCTTTAACAAGCGCCGAAACATAGCTGACAGACGGCAGCACCTTACATTTCCATAAATGGCAGCTTTCAACATCAATCAAACCAGCGAGAAAATACTACAGAACATCATGGCAGCAGCAGTCGAAATAAAAGCTCCTAAAGTGATTCCCTTTAGGTCCACTTTAAGTTCACAAAGCAGATACAGTAGCAGCTGATGTCGTCTTTATTTACATGGTTTTCCACCGAGCCAGTGGTATCAACATCTGTTCAGCGCCCCTAAAGTTTTCTAGGACAATGCTCCCAGCAGCAGGTGAGAGGGAGCTACACCGTTCGCAATCCTTGTGATTAAAAGAAGCAGTGACTCAGAGGCAACTCTTCTGCTGGGAGCATGAGTCCGTTTGTTCCTGAGTATGTCTCACCATAGACCGACGAGTCCCACATGCTGTGCTGTGGTGGGCTCCAGCCAAAATGCCACAAACATGTGCTCATTGCTTCCAGTTTAATTAAGTCGGCGTCGGAAGTAAACACACAGAAATCAGATTCAGTCAATGTCAAGCTCCTCTACTAGCAACAAGAACAAAAAGAGTCTTACACGTAAACATTAAGAAAACAGATATCAGAGACGTACTCTTAATAAGTTAAAAGTCAGAATTAGACTTTGGCATTTTTTTTTCTTCTTCTAAGGGCTTAAAAACGTGAGAATCTCTGTCTTTTTTGTGTCAAAGCAAAGAGTTAAGTTAAAAATAAAAAGGCTATTTACATGATTCCCTTATGACCCTCGGCCTAATTTCCCAAAACCTTCGCAGCCTAAAGGCCTCGTCCCACCAGCATTCAAAAGTTAAATTTCTCTAAAACAAATCTTTGCATTACAATGAAAGTGAATTCATGCATATTTGGCGCACGGAGCTCAGGTTTTGGTGAACTCCACCAAACAAATTCGCGCCAAATTTGCCATCCACCTTGAGAGGACAGAGTTCTAAAGCTCCAGAAAACCCACCATGGTGCTTTTCATTAGACTAATGTGCCTCCCTGCATTTTGGATGTGAGCGACGTATGCGAGGAAAAGATGTGAGGACAGATGAGCTGAAGCTGCAGAACAAGAAACCCTTGCTTCCACAGCGCCCGTCTTAAGTTGAGATGACAGCTACTTATGAAATGCTGGATCGTTCCACTTGATAAAAGACTTCCACGTAGGTCCCACCTGCCTCCCCCGATATAAACTCCTCCTGAAGCCTCCTTGTCGCCTCAACATGCATTTAAGTAATTGGATCATCTCCCAGGATGGTGGAGGAGGGGGGCAGTTTCCGGAGGAGAGAGGATGTGAGGAAGCACGAGTTAGCTTAATGAAAAGCACCCCAGAGAGTCCAAGATGCAGGAAGCTATCATCGCTTATTAGCTGTGTTTCCCACTTTTGACCTCCTCTGCTCAACAAAAAGGACATAGTTTGTAGAAAGTTATGAGGCAGGAGTTAATTTTACAAACAATTAGTGAAAGAAACTGATTTTTTTTAACCTATAAGCAGCTAGCTTGCTCAGCACTTACCAACTTAGGAGAGCTTTTTCCCCTCTTTATTGAACTTTTTATTAAATACAATCCCAAGAATCAGCAAGGGTAATTCGCGTGAGCTCTCTGCAGCTTTCAAGAGATTTTTTTTACACGAATCACTTTAAACATTTTCAATCTGACTGAAGTTAAACACAGAAATGATCCACCTGAAGCAGGCATTTTGGGAATCTACATCTGAGGATACTTGCTGTGTGACCAAATCAGCGACAGGTTCACTTTTGGTCAAACTGGAAAACAAACATTTAGAGAGCTTGGGAAAGCAGCAGGGAGGTCATCCTAATTGCCCCGACTAAACATAGTTTTTCTGGATCTCTACAATTGAGGTGCAGATTGCAAAGTTAGCATGAGACTTCTCTTTTAAGGTGACTCACTAGTGTTAGCCAGAATGTGAGACTCAAATATTTTGCAAAGATGCACAATTTGTGGAGCTTTCTCTCTCTTTTGGGGAATTCTGGTCTTTTCCCGACACATAACTGAGCAGGAAACAACATGAAGCTGCATTGTAGAGTCAGACTGAACATTTTCTGAACAGTCACGCATAATTTACCCAGAATTTAGGACAAATTAATCCTACTTAAGATAGTAAAAACTTTGGCGTCTTTCCTGTGTGGACAAATTGAGTATTCTATCTTAAGTTTGGTCTGCAGTGTTTTGCCTGAGGAGTGGAGTAAACTCTTGCCTAAACAGGGACTTGAACCGTGGTCACCTCACTGAAGGACCAAACTCTCCACCTCACTCTGCTGATTTGTACGTGACACACTCTGCATTTCAAGCACCGGTCTCTCAACTGTGTATATTAGTTTCCCAGCTGAGTGACCAGGGCTCAAAATTCAGTTCAACCACATATATCCAATGCCAAATTTGTGCGAACACATCCATCACAGCCGTCCAGTCACCCTAGAATTTTATCAAATTCTTGTTGGCATGCTCACCTAATGACGACTTTTTAATTTCTTAATGAAGCCCCTGCAATGATACTTTCACTTTTTTACCACCTTCAGGTAGCGTTTTCTGTTTTTTACATCAGTTTTCTATGAGACTGTCAATGCTTTTGGGAAACCAGGCCTGCAGCAGTAGCCTTTGAATCTTCAAGTAAAGATCTACAACAAGAGACACAAGCACCCACTGCAATAGGAGAGGAGGAGGAAAAAAATAGTTTTTTAAAACAGAAAAATAAAACTAAAATATTAATGCACCTGCAGCATTAATCTCAAGAGATGTTTCTTCCACAAAGTGCAGCATTACATTTTGAAATCCATTTTTCAAATTCAAATGCAGAGTTTATTTCTCATAGCATGAGCACTTCAAGCCTTCCTGGTATCAACATGAAGCATTTAAGTTCAAAACAATTCCTCGAGTAGTAGCGATGAAGTGTGCTCCCGTACTTTAAGCAGATGATTGACATATACATGGTCGGTATTCAAGACAAAGAGGAGTCCGTTGTTTCCTTTTTTGAGGAGAGCGTCATGCAAACTGCAGCGAGATAGATGAGAAAGAAGCAAAGCACCCGCTCTCCTGTCAACGTAGTCTTAGATGCAGTTTCTTCGTGATCAAGCAGTTTTTTTTTTTTTAGGCCATGAAAAACAGGAAAGGGATTCTTGTTGCAGCCTTGCATCCATTCAAAGTGCTTGAATTAGATAGCTGAGTATAGTTCTGTTTTGTTCTTCAAGCGCAGATATTTGTTTGAACTTTTTAATTAAATTATTATTTTTTTTAGTCCAAGGCAGAGACCTTGAACCGACTGACCACTCTCCAATTAGGCTCCCTCCTCCCACATGAACTCTCTGTCTCAGGGAAAAAAAAAAAGAGCGATTACGTTGAGGTGACAACTCCTTTCACCACCGGTTCTCTGTTAAGGTACGTGGCCCAGTAGACGAGGTTGAAGGTTCCAAAGAGGACGGGGAACACTATCCGAGACATCTTGTCGATCTTGCTGACGCTGTTGTAGGTCTTCTTGGGGTCCGCCATCTTGGTCTCGGAGGCTCGCAGCTGCACCGACGTGGTGTTTGAGATTGTGGAAATGGACACGTCCTTGGTGAGGTTGGGGGTGTAGTTGACGCCCGCTGAGCAGACGTTGTTGGGCTTCTTCGACAGCACCATGGGGTCTCGTTTCTGCAGCGGGACAGACACATCGTTGAGCAGCGAATTAGTTTTGGAGCTCGATACAGACGCCGTTTGCTCTGCTATTACCAGCGTTTTTTTTTTTGTTTTTTTTTAACCTGAGATAATCAATGTGTTTCGTTGTGTCTGGAATGATTAGCGATTTTACAGAGGTGAAACATTTCTGGCAGAACACGCTGGTAAAATGTGGGCTGCTGTGTAATTGAATTTCACTCAGGTAGCAGCGTGATTCCCGCTGGTGGTCTGGCAGTTAGATTTTTATTCATAATGATTGCAATGTATGTTCTACTGCAGCTGTTAACATGACTGTAGAGTGATTAGTTTTGTGACTTAACTTCTAATATCCTGATGCAACTCATGCATTTTACAGTCCTATTCATAGTTTGTAGTGAAGTCCCACATCTGAAATCAACTGCCTCGCCATAGACTGTACATAAAAGATGGTCATAGCCTCTGGATCGAAAAGGTGAAGCTAAGTGGCTTAAACCTGCATTCTCTCTCACCACCAGTAGGGGGCGACTCCTGTGGTTGCGAAATCAAGTCTGTATTGTATAGAAGTCCACGAGAAAATGACTGTACTTATCATTTGATCCTATTATTTCAGTAAACTTTATCCTAATAGGTTTATGGTCTCAAGACCAACACCTCACCTGTCATGTCTGTCTTCAAAAGAGTGAGATAATGACTACCTAATGCCAGAGGCTTCAGAATGGTGGTCCGCAAACTAATGGGTAGCATCACAGCTGCACAGTCTATGTGTGTAACTACAGCTAGAAGACGGTTAGCTTAGCATTCGACTGGACTGAACCCTTTGGACAGAGCTGTGTCTCAGTTTTTATGTTGAGGCTAGCCAAGTGTCTCCTGGCTCTTCAAAGTATTAAAAGCTAAGCTAAGTATTTCTACCTGCTATGTTCATGTAACTCTTGGCAAGAAAGCAAACAGCCATATTTGAAGAAATAACAAATGATTTCCTTCAGGTGTTGGTTTGGTATGATTTAAGCCACTACGTCACCCATGGGTGTATAGAACCTGACATTTTAGCCTCACATTCCCAATAAACTACAAGAAATGACTGGATTCACATAGTCCTTCATCGTCCACACTTTGGTTTTCTTGTAGATTAACTATTCCAATGGAATTGCTCATTAAAGCAGTGCTCCTTAGCATTGCTTTAGTTATGAATCATGTGTCTCAAACACACTGCCAGAGTCCAAAATGGTCCCTACAGACACCTGCAACGACACTCCAAAGGTGAAGCATTCATTACTCTAAGTTATGGCCTATTTTAAGCAAGTTTAATTTCTCTTCACTTCTACATGTGGGAGCAAACCTGTCTAAAAGTGTGTTTTGCAAGATGGTTATACTGGAGATACGGAGAACTTAACACAGCACAGACACTGCCAATTTCACATGTGTATTATTGTAACATGTTTTGTTCCTAAATTTGTAGCTTGGTGTCCATAAAACTGTACCTTAGGGTGCTGTGCCTCCAGAGCTTTCTTGCCATCCCAGGCCCAGCTCCTCTTGGTGAAGTAGTTCACTGTGGCAAACTCAATGAGGGCAGAAAAGACGAAAGCGTAGCAGACAGCAATGAACCAGTCCATGGCAGTAGCGTAGGCCACTTTGGGGAGCGAGTTCCTGGCGCTGATGCTGAGGGTGGTCATGGTCAGCACAGTGGTCACCCCTGGGTGCAAACAAAGTTAAATGTGACAAGTTGAAATTGAGTTTTAACAAGTTGGCTGGAAACAAGCAACAGTGTGGCCTCGCTCAACAAAGGTGGGCACTTTAATAACTCCTAACTGCCAGCTACTGCAGCGCTGCTGCTCAGTGAGCAACTGTTATTATTCTCCCCTGTGTGAATGTGCATGACAGGAATATTACCCAGATAAATAAAAAGTAAAAATAAAAATAAAACAAAATAGAGTAAATAAGCAGCTTCACTCACCAAAGACAGTCCTAGCAGGGACTGACTCTCTGTTTAGCCAAAACGACACCTGGGACAGGATTACAGTCATGAAACACGGCATATACGTCTGGATGACAAAATATCCAATCTTCCTCTTCAGGTAGAAGTGGGCCATCATCACAGTGTACTGTCCTGAGGGGAGAGACAGGAATAAAAAAGACATAAAGTTAGACAGGGACAGTAAATAACAATATCCTAATGGCGGCGATATCTGCTTAAAGTTGAAGCACACTGGGGTAAATATTGTTTGTACATGGAGGAATGACTAAAGTGCAGCTTCACCTCCTCATAGTAGAAAAGATATTTAGATGATCACATAGGACAAGACTTTTTGTGACAGTAGGTTGCTCAGATGGTGCTCAATCACTGGATAAAACAGGCACAAAGTAGCACTTGCAAAGCGGTCATAAACTCTTCCCCGAGCTAATGTATCTCTACACCTTGCACCTATTTCGATAATGAAATAATCAGAGGTGGTGGAACCGCAAGAATAGAAAGCGGCGGACAATTCATATTCAGCCCAACATACCAGCAGAATGAACCTGACTTCAAATCCATTATTAAATTTAAAGAAATGAGCACAAGCGGCGTTAATTATTGCAAGAATATGACAATAGATTATTATGCAGTTAATGTCTGAGATTCAACAATGGCCGATGACAGTGAGAGGTAAATCCAGGGATAGAGAACGTGTCGAGAAAATGAGACCGATAGGAAGAGAGAGGACGCTCGATTCAGTTAAACAACCAAAGATTGCATTTGAGGCTTTAAAAAAAAAAAATCCTCTCCCAGCAGCAGTTTGCGACCGCAGGCGCTGGTAAACTATGAAATCCAATGACTATATTCCACACACTAAGGCACATGTACGCAAGCAGCTCTCTCTCTCTTTCCCTCACACACACACACATACAGAGTAATACACGAGGCTTTCTCCAGGCAAAATCGGATTTTTGAACCTCCCTAATCCCTGGTTACAATCTGCATCCTGCCATCAGTGAGAGAAAAAGGGAGTGAAAGGGGAGGGGAGGGGGGGTGTTGAGGCTTCCTGTCCTGGGATCCTCACAGATCTGGAAGCCCCGCCCATTCCAGGCTGCCAGTGGAGGCTCCGACACACACAGTGAAACACACATGAAGCATGATTCCTAACTGTTGACACATACCTCAGCACACACTCTGAGCCACGGAGAGAGACACTCACTGCTGCTAATCACTGGTGGGATGGAGGGGGGCTAGCCGTGTGGACATCTCCTATCTTTTTTTTTCTTTTTCATGTTGGGTTTTTTTCTTTTTTTTTGTTATTTGGCAGCTGTTTGTGGAATAATGATCAAACGTTCTTGATGGGACTGGCAGGCGTGCGAAGGACAGAAGATCAGAAAGCACACGGTGGGCATCAAGTGGCTGAAAGTGAGGGAAATCTGTATGCTTCTGCAGGAGCTCTGTGCTGAGAGCAAACCACTGCTACATTCATCTCCACCACTGCCATGCCTCGATTAGGAGACCCCCAGCACTGTTAGTTCTCACTGAGACCCCATCACCTGGGCCCTCTGATGCCCTCATGACTCCAGGCCACCTGGCTCACATCTACCCCGTCGACTTGTACCGCTGTCGGAAACATCCAGGCACATCCAGGCGCTGCCGACCTGGGACACCCCAGGCTCACCTTTGCCTTTAATGCATGGATCCCGACAGGACTGGGGGCAGAGGAATGAAGAGGAACATGTTCCTCTGGTGGATCTTACTACTTTTCTCCCAAGGATTTGTATTTCGCAACGTCCGAGGGGAACTTCCGTTCATTGCAGGAAACAATGCTGCCATGCTGGTCAACTGGTGAGTAAAGGAGCTTTTGCTCTGTTGGTCTGACTGGTACATAAAGAGGTTCACACTAGTGATTATCCTTTGAAAACTGAAGTATCTCTGAAGATTAGTTGTGATGACATTTTGGCCCAAACAGAAAAATAGTATTCCAAAGGATGCAGCTTTTTACAAGCCCTACAAGTTCCTGCAAAGTGTAGATGGAACTGTTGCTATATTAAGTCTTATCTGCTTTTAGAGTCGGGGAGTTATTTAAGGAAAGATGTTGCTGTCTGAGACGGAAAAAGCAGCGTCCTTAAAGCTGTCAAGAAAAACTCATGGACTTATCTCCTCTTTCATGTACTCAATTGGGAGTGTTGTCTAAGATTAGATGTGCTAATTAAAGACTAACGCCAGCAACCATCCAGTATTTTAAGACTTGGATTGAGGTTTCAAGATCCATGCTCATTGACAACCTGTAACAGATCAAACCAATAGCGTTGGAATGGATGGAAATGTAGGATTTTGAATCACAGGAAAATGTAAAGTTTAAAGTGTTAAGGTAGAAGATAAAGACGGTTAAGAAGTTGCCCATAAAGGCAAAGTGGGCCATGCAGTTAGAGCCAGGAGACAAACTGTTACTGCAAAGAGTAGCACAAGAAGGACCAGACGACCAGTAATTGACTGTTGTTTTGAGTCTTTGCAAGTGCTTCATTGCTTTGTCTAGACCCAATAAAACAGCAGGCGTCTTTGAATCAAGCAGAGAAACCACAGTTAACGTCCACCTTTTACCAGAGCAAAGACCGTCTACTGGTCTTCACTGCAAATACACCTTGATAGGGGGCATTTATCAACCTCAATGTACAACTTTGATTTTGCATATGTGCTGCCATGTTGGACCAAGGTAGTCCAGCAGTTACACATAAAATTTCCTTGTTAGACCGCTGTGCTCTTCAGTCTTGTGCATATTACAATTTCAAATATCACCACATAGCACCACGCAACATAAGGAACTGTTAAAAGCTGTAAAAAAAAAAAAGGAAAAAAAGGCTTCAGGTTGTGAACTATAAAAAGACACAAGTGGACTCCATTGTCACATCTGTGTCAAGTAACACCTGTCGATGGTAGCCAAGGAGAGTAATATTCCATTTAAAGCTTGTATTATGGAAAAACTGCAACATCAAAATGCATTACACAGTTCTGCCACAGCTAAAAATGTCATATTTGGTCTGGAAAAGTTGCTAGCAAGAGCGTCAAAGACATGCACAGAGTAAATTAGCGTACTGGACTGAATGTGACCTCAGAGCTCAAACTCATCAGCAATCTCCACCACTGATTTGGACGCTCTCCAGACAGAAGCTTTGAGCTGCATGAATGATGATTTACTGCCTGTAGGCCTACGGCTAAATGGAGTTCTCAGATAATGTTTAGCGTTTTGTAGAAGCAGTCACGACAGCAGATGGTGGTTCGATGAGTCAGGGCAAACGAGGTAATGTCAAATAAACAGAGAAATACATACACGATGACCTTGGAAACTAATAAAACATTCAATCAAACAGCATTATTTATTTCTACACATAAATAGGCAGGAATACTCCAGAGGGGATAACATATTGTTTATGGCTTTTCTTCGCTCGATCACCCATACGAGGAGAAAGGAGGAGTTGGTGTCATTAAACAGTTTCAGAGAAGTCCAGATGTGGTAGAATAATGCTGGAGATGTGGTATAGTTTTGATTTAACAATAGATTGCTGGTTTTTAAGCAGTATTATTTGGATTTGCAATTACTTTTTACAAGTTATTGTGGGCCACTGCAACCATTCCGACCTGATGTATTGAACAAAATATGGGTGTAAAAGTCTTTTTGGTATTTGAGAAAAATATTCATGCTCAAGAATAATGATGGGAATACCCTGTGGGAGCCAGCAGTGCTTTGGAGCATTGTTTTTACAACTGGGGCCTTGATTTGTTTGCATTGTGCAACAGGCAGTTGGTGACAGTAATATACAAAGAAGGCAGGGAAACCAGAGTGCTAGCTGGCAAACATGGATGTAAAAAATACACTATTGATAGAACACCAACACTAGCTCTGCAGATGTCATCTGTGGAAGAAATCTATTGAGCATTCATGTAAGGCCTCAAATGTAAGCATGACTTTGTTTACAAAAAGTGAACAGAGCAGCTTTGAAGGTCTTGTATTGTGCTCCTTTTAGTTTTTCTTCTTGGAAAACTGCAAACATGGTTAAATTCACCATGACTGTATAACTCCTGATTTTAGGGCAGTTCTAAAAAGACTATTTTGGTCTGAAAACCAACAAGCTGCCACTTGTTTGAGCTGCATGACTATTGGTTAGTCTGGCCTGAGTCGAATTCTTACCAGATGGTAAAGAGGCTAACTAGTTGTGGTCAGCTTGAGGAATGGCTTGGTTTAAATCTTAAGAACTTTGACTTCACACCTCCAAGTTTTTAACAACCATAAAGCACAATAACAATGTTATTTCATCCTATGGAATCTTTAATATCATTAAATCTCTACTCATTTAACATTACCTCATTTAAAAGACATTTTGTGCAGTTTTGTGTTTTAAGTCAGGCTTAACAAAACCCAGATTTTGTTAACCGGTGATGCTTCATCTTTAAGTCAGTGTTGTTTGGTCCCACTCTTCAACTAATCAAACAAAAAAGTGTTTATTGGTAAACAGCTTAAAGGAGGCTTTCAACTTACCCCTGTTCTCGTGGGATTTTTATTTTTTTGGATGATTTGCATGTCGTGTGGGTAAACTTTGGAGCTATATAGCCAGATAGACATTTGGTATCTCCAGTTCGATTGCCCTACTGTTCATTTTATTCATAGCCAACAGACTGCAGCAAACCAATATCCAAAATGATACAGCACGTCAGCAGGGAAGAAATCATTTGTCAGCCAGCTATTAAACATTTAGCCAGTCTTTGATCAGCAGTCAACATGCCAAACCAATCAATCATACAATCTGCCCTCCAGAAGGGCAGTCATGCAGTCACTAGGCTGAACTACTGAGTCAGTCAGCAAAGACAGGGATTCAACTGTGGTGCTCAAAAAAAAAAAAAAAGCAGGGGAAATCCACACTTTTAATAATGATTCTACTAGAAACTAGAGGGAAGTGTATTACAGTTCCCTTTTACATAAGAGTATTAAGCAGATGCCTTTCAGCCCCCCTCCCCTCACTCCCCACGTGTCAGATGAGGCTGTCCAATCCCAGCATGCAGACACAAACACATTTCTTGCTCTAGCTTTGTGGGGACCGAACTTAATTTTAAGTCAAACTACCTCCTTCGTGGTTAAGAATATAGTTTACCACCACGGACATTTTAATCAGCGTGATTGACTGTTTGATTGTAATCCCCGCCCTGAATCTAACTCATAGGCCAGAAATAACCACACGTCACTGTGCTTACCGTGTAAATTACCTCAGTGTGTATGTTTGTAATTGTGAGGACATTTGGTACTAAGATAAATGTGCAAGTGCCCGCAAACACACAGATACACTCAGCGACAGCCACCCAACCAATCCCTCGCTGATCTGTGATGTCATCTTCTTATGCAAAAGCTGATGGGTGGTTGGAATGGAGGATTAACCCGAGGTCTCAGGTCTCTCTGCAGCTCTATGATGTCTGTGTGTGTGTGTGTGTGTTTTTGTGTGTTTTTGTGTGTGTGCGCGTGCGCATGGGCTCATGCGGGGATAAGTGTTGTTTGACAGGGCTGTCCGGGCCTGTAGACAGCTGGTTGTGTGACGGATAGGCTACTCTCCTCCACTAGCCTCCACTCATTGACTCTGATCTCCTGATAATGTTTCCCACATTTACTCTCCGCCTCGCACGCCCATCTCTCATCACCAGCATTTATCTTTTCTAATCTAGAATTAGTTACATCACGTTATTTGGTATTACACTTTACATGCACCCACATCCGGTATGGTTTTACTCATAAAAAAAAGAAAAAAAGTGTACAAGAAAAGCAAAGAAAAAGAGATAAGCGAGGGTAAAATTGCACTGTGGAGGTTTTGGCAGGCTCTGAGTCTTCCTGCTGGTGGTTTCTTCAGTTAATTATAAAATGATCGGTCATAAAAAAAGTTTTTAAATGACATATAGGGCCCAGTTAAGCAGCAGCTGAGTCATCCTTTTCTCAGTTAACAGGAAACTCCTGTGGTTCCATCTTTCCCTTGTAAAAAAAACTTTACTTGCTGGGAGCAATTTATTTGAAAATGCTGCTGAAGATGTTATTGAGATGGCAAAGGGATGAGACGCTGAAATTATCTGATGAGGTCAGTAGGGGAGTGAATGGAGAGGAATGATCCCAGTGCTGAACCTGAGGACACGCTTTATGGAAGTATTTAGACAAGTATGAACGGTGCAGCAGTTTATTAGAATTTGAAAGTAGTTGGTAGTCACTAGAAATGTAGGAATCAGTGATATAAAGCTTTGGCTGAGCAGTGTGTGTCAGCATGATCGAGTGATTGATTGTTGAGTTGGGAGTGTGTCATATTTCCAGCCATTATTATTGGCTGCTGTGTGTGTTCTGTTCACAGCTAGGATTGCTTGAGTGCTAATTCACACTGTACTGCCTTAAACTTGATTTCACAATACATACTTTATTAGCCTTTTACATGATATATCCGATCTTATTCTACCGAGTACGATACACTTGATGCCACACAGTGGCTGTCTGCTCGGGCTCTGATTCTTACCTGTTCTTTATTTTTCTTGCATCACTACTTTTGCGTTCATCGGCAGATTGCATCCTTTGGGATTACGTTGTACTACTTCTGCTGCGTTAATTCCTGCTACAAATTTCTGGGTATTTTACTACTAGTACCAGGACAACAACCACTACAGTGCTATTACAATACTGTGATTACGCACCTCTGCTTGTGTGTATGTCCTCTGTGCCAGCAGTCTGCCCAATAAGATGGTACTGGTTTAGCCTGGAGCCGTCCTCTGCCACCACCACAGACTTCGCAGCTCCCTGAGTCCAAGTATAGACCACCTCTGACACCGGATAGGCATCTGAGAGAGACAGAGAGAGAGAGAGAGATTAATCAGACTTAGAATTTAATGTGTTCGGCTTTAGCACACAGATGTTCAAAATGATAGTAAAATGTTCCAAAACGTGCTTTTGTTTGAACCACAGTTGATTATTAACACATCACAGGAAGCTGCCATCACTCATATTATGTGCAGCTGCCTGTGTGCTTGTATCTGAGTGAGTGCTGATGTGAGTCTTTGTAGCACTTTTTGATTAGACTGCAGGCTTAAGGCCAAAAACAGAATTTTGCTTGCAGGCCTGTATATGTGTGTGTGTGTGTGTGTGTGTGTGTGTGTGTGTGTGGGTGGATATTTGAGTGCATTTTTGTTTAAACCACACCTCTGGGTCAGAGGTGAGCTCCCCTGTCAGCAGGAACCAGACTGAGTCAGATTAACTAAAATGTGTTGCATCACACTTGTGATGAAAAACACCGAGCAAACTCTGAAGCCTCGCCTGCTGTTTCATTTATTCATGCCGAATAGTGCGCCGACACTGGACATTGATCTATCATCTGCTCTCTTGTGAGCGCTGAAATGTTGAAAGACGAAAATTGTAACTGGCATGGGTAGACGGATTCATCTCTGAATTTGTTTTAGATCTCAGATTGCATGTTTGTCGTCTCTGGATTCAATTCAGCTGCACTATTCATTGGAAAAGAGGATTATTTATGTAATTTAGTCACTGCTGATTGTAAATATTGTCACCTATTTCCAAGAACAGGCCCGGAGAATAAAAAGAAGGATGGCAAAAGCTTAAAAAAACTATTTGTGATAATGTCAATTTACAAGATCTGGTAAAATATTGGTTTATATTGTCGAACCGTATTTGGAAACCAGACAAGCTGAGGGGGGAATTGGGAAAATGAATTATGTGCCGAGCAGAAAAATAACGAGGAGGGCTGCGTCAGCCCACTTACAGTAGATGCTCGATTTCATTCAGCATTTATTTTTTATTTTTGATGCTCTCTAAAGGCAAAAGGCTTAATACTGGAGATAGAAAGTAGTGATGTTTTTTTTAATTTTTTTTGCAAAGACAAGAAACTTTTAAGAGCACAGTAACAATTTGTGCAGCCAAGTGTTGTTTCCTCATCTGGAGATTTCTGGAGGCGTGAAATAGACAATTATGCATATTAAAATCTATGAATGCAATACAGGACAAGCTGAAACCGCATTAAAACATTTACAAGTAATTTTGCTGACTGGAACAAACACTACTTAAAGCTCGTCTTGTTGTGTAACAGGGTTGCCATTGTTTATTTCGAGCCTGCAGATAGCATCTTAGCCTCACTGTTTCCATTCTGGGTGCTCACTTGGCAGCTGGATGCTAGTGTACAATATGTAGTGTTTAAATTTAGGCACTGTCAGGTCAAAGGACAGGACCTTAATTGGAGAGTAGTTAGATTGCAATAAGGGATTATTGGTGAATTTCATTATGCAGAAGAAGAGCTAAAGACTTTGGCAGGCAAGGCGGTGCACCGGTGCCAACTTTTCAACACTTCACGCTTAATGCTTTGCTGCTCCTGCCTTGTGTGTGAGGCAAAGGGAGCTACAGCTCAGCCAAACTCATCACTTACTGTAGCTCAGCACACTCTGGCTGCAGCTGTGTGAAGTATAAAAGGCAGTAAACGCGGATGATTTCACAAAAAACTGAACGTGTTGTCCCTTACAAGTTGTGCACACATTAATATCCAGTGTGCTGTATAGATCAGCATCATCCCAGTGTTACCACAGGGCTCATTTTTCTCAACATGGAGACACAGAATAGTCAAGTGTGACAAAATCAATGCATTACCTGGATTAAATAAGCCACAAATGTTAGCATGTCAGGCTAACAGGCTTACTGCCTTGTAATTGAGCATTCTAAGGTCAATGAGCACATTAATTAGCTCGGTTACATTAGTTCACCAGCTTCCAGGTAATGTTAAAAACAGCCCTGTTCACGACTCGTGTATCTGATGTGTAGTGACTCCACATTTCTATAAACTGTAAGATGGACTTAGACTCCCGGTCAATGTGGAAGTGAAGCATTCTTCCTGATGGCCAGCAGGGGGCCACGTCTCTGGTTGCCAAAAAAAAATAGTATGTTTGTATAGAAGTTTAAGAGAAAATGACCTTACTTCTCACTTGATATGTTTTCTCAGTAATCATCTTCCTAATGAGTTTATGGTCTCTATCACTAGTTTAAAGTCTGCTTCAACACAGCCTGATGTTCATTTAGGAAAGTATGGTTCCATTAGGAGGCTTCTTTTATGATCGGGCTACCTTGTGATTGACAAGTTGCTACATCCGCAAGTTCGCAGTAAGATCAGCCCCTCACTTCCTGTTTGGAAAGTCCAGGATGGCAACAGCCGAGTCATGATCAAATTAAAGCACAGCACATTTTATAACAACCTGAGATGTGTAAAGTGCTGCACGTGTTATAAAACAGGCAACAAAAGCAAAACAGCAAGGCGGAAAGGAAAAAATAAACCTTGTAAAATCAATAAAAAACATAAATACTAAAAATATAAGACAAACAGGATTATCATTTTTTAGATCAGGAGCTGCCACTGCTGAGGCTCGGTCTTTGTTACCCACCAACCTCTGGTCATGGAGCAGCTGTCTTAAGGAGAAGGAGAGTAGGATCAGAGAAATGTACCCAACACGTGCATTCCTTCATAATGAAATAAAAGAACCTTAACATTGATTTTGTATTCAGTAAGTAGCAGGTGCAGAGGAGCTTGAGGCAGAAGGTGGAAGGTTTAAACTATCAGGGGTTAGGCTGATAGCAGCTGCTCTGTCTGGATGGTGTATCATGCAAGTAGACATCAGGTCACACTAAAGACCTGTAGTTTATATCCTTTCTTTGTAATGAAACGCAGAAAGATGAAGAGCAACATTAGCAGCTTTTGTCTACCTCTCTGTGAAATCGAGGAATCGCTGTTTTAAAAAATAATACGAATTTTGATGATAAATTTTAGTGTTTTTGTAGGAAGACGTCCACAAGTCGGAGACAAATCAGTACATCGAATATAGTTGTTAGACTGTCGTTAAAGAGAAATTGTTCATCGTTGTTCATTAATCATTGATGTTCAAATCTAGTTACTGGGATCGCAATTCAAACATTTATATCTCAGAATATGAACAATTCTAAAATGACTCAGTGCTACGTATGTTCAGCGGGATCATTGTTATTTGAAACAAGACAGGCTGAAAGATGATTCATTGAACCTGTGCTTCATTTTTTGTTGCCCTCCTGCCAGGTTCTGCGCACCTCACACCCTCATCTGCGTCCGTATGCGCTGATTCGGGGAACGAGCAATCTCTAAACACCCGTCTTGCCATAAACACCAGCTTCGCAAAGTTCCAAATGACTAGTCTTTTCTTGTCACGGAGCCGTCAATTATGGTAATCATATGGCAATTTCCGCAAAGTAGTTTTCTTTGGCAACTGTTCTTCTGTCTCTGCGAGCTGCCTGCAAACCTGTGGCCTTTTACTGATGCAGATGTTATGTGACTGCGTTGTTGTCGGGGGTTTTTTTTTCCACACAGTTCATTACAGAGTTTTTGTGTGTGGTGTGCCAACAACTTTTACTGTTTGTCTATGCTGATTTGTTAGCGGCTGCATGTTGGCTTGAAATCTTACAATCTTACAGACATTGCATATGTGTGATAGAAACTATTTTCACCTTAGATATGACAGACTAATTACCATATACAGTACTCTCCGTAGTGTATATTTGAGAAATGTAGGGCTGGAGGCCAGCAGCTAAATTAGCAAAGCCAGAATAAAAGATTAGTTGCCCTTTACCTGGGGCAGACCTTCATGCTTTAATTGCACAATAAATCACCACTCTGTCACAAAGCAGTGGATACATGGATTTCTGAAAGATGAGTGCATGCCTTAAGACTATTATGACCTCCATAAATGTAGCCTGATACTGATAATAAACTCATCTGTGTGTGTGAAAGTTCCATAGTTCAATCAAATTATACTTACTCTGCCTTCCAAAGCCAACAGACAGGTTGGTCAATAATTATTTATGTCAGGAATCTGAAATTCAATATGCCATTGAAGCTCTTAAAGCTGGCGACACTTAGCAAGTGAACTGCACTCTGGCTGTGAGGTTTTTGCAATTTGGCAATGTCATCTCAAAGCTGCCGTCACACATGCTGTCCTCTGTCACAGATAAGCAGTTAAGGGAGGTACAGTAGATCAAATTAAAGCTTGTCCCATTGCCATTACCTTAGCTAAAGCCACCGTTAAATACAATTGAAACATTTTGCGTCAGCTTGTTGTTCTGTGAAACTAAACATGTAGCTGAACAGAACTGCCATCTATTAAAGTATAAAATGATTTATTGTGTTAGAGAAACAGAGCAAAATAAAGAAATATAGTTTAGCGTCTTCACTGCTACTGCTGTCTGTCATGGCATTCTGAACATGGCAGGACAGATTTAGTGTTTTTTCTTTTTTTCTTTTTTTTGCATGGGGGATTAAATTTGCAGATTTTTTCCTTACACAGGATGTTGTCTCCTTTCATCCCCTCTGACGACAATAGTAAACAGTGGACACAGTCAAAATGCTGCTTGGTGTTGTCAGAGATTGCCGGACTAAAATATAACGTTTCTGCCAGGCGCTGCAGAAGAGGAGGTTGAATTGATTTCTTTTTGCAATGGAGATGTAGCACAGCTTCATGTTGAAGTAATGATGTTGGAAGTCCGGGAGGTGATCGGGTCAAACGCAGAGGTCACAGAGAGTCTTCTACATGCTCGAACGCTTTGCTTTGTGAAAGATGTCATTTAGTGTTTCCATCAGCGCCTCACTACTGCTATATTCCTTCACCTTTAACATGCCGGGCATTACACCCGGGTGATTAGGTTAGAGTGGGAAGGCCCAGCTAGCTCCTTACACTGTAATTGGATTGCAGTCAAATGTGTTTCCCTTACAGAGTGAGTGTGTGCGGACCCAGTCTGGCTGAAATCTGGGGATAAGAGGTTCATCCTTTTAGCCCGACAGACTCCCTAGATGTGGCATTTGGCCAGCTCTGTCTTTAAATACCTCCTGGGTCACTCAAGTTTCTAAACATGTCCTCATTTGTATGAAACTCAGGCCGGTTAAGTTAAGGAGGTTGAGGAGAGCCCTTCCGATCATTGGTCTAATTATGTGTTGAAGAACCTGCGGTAATCTCTTCTGAAGCTTTTAATAGTTGTTGTCAGGAGGGACCATAAATATGAAGAAAGTTGTTCAGATTTGCAGTGTCAGAGGGCCACGCATTATGACATGAGACAATTTGCAACATCAAAAAAAGTGACTGCAGCTGATGCTATAAAACACGCCAGCGATTTGATTAAAGTCAGTTCATGAACCTTTCCAGTAAAAAAAAATGCTGAGCTCATGGTTGCTGTGTTCAATTTCTATAGAACGTATTCATGTCTGGACAGTTTCTCGCAATTTAATTTTTGCTTTTTTGACCAAAACAGACTTCTTCATGTCAAAGTGAAAACAGATTTCTGCAAAATAATGTCAGTTGATTAAAAATGTAATACATAAAATTAGTGATTGCAGAAGTATCGACCCCATTTAAAGACTCACCCAATTCAATACAGGTACAGCCAATTGGTGCTAGATGTCACACAATGAGTAACACAGAGATCAACTGAGTGCAGTGATTGTGGCTCAAGTGTTTTCAGTATCAGAGTACTAGAAGTTGGAGGGTCCGGTCACTGCTGAATCAGTACTCCTTGTTCTAACCTCAACATAAAGGCAAAAGAAAACGCTAAGCAACTCTGTATATGTGCTATATCCTTTGGAGTACAGTTACATCCATCATTAAGAAATTGGAGGAACATTGCATATGTATAAATCTACCTATAACATGCCTTCCTTAAAACTGATTAACTGGGCAAAAAAATAAATTCGAGCGACACCAAGACTCCTCTAAAGGAGTTACAAGCTTCAGCAAGTGAAATGGGAGAGGCTGTTACCTGGGTTCTTCACCAGTCAAAGCTTTATGGGAGAGTAGCAAGGATCACTGTCGAAAATATTTCATAGTAAATCTTGACTCGAGTTTGCCAGACGCCTTGTGAGAGACTCTAAAGTCAACTGGAAGAACACTCTGTGGTCGTCGTAACAAATACATCATCCCCACCATGAAGCACGGTGGCGGCAGCATCATGATGTGGGGATGCTTCTCAGCAGCCGGCCCTGGAAGGCTTGTAGGGAAATCCCGTAAGAGAACTGTCTGCAAGAGCGCTGCGACTTAGAGATTTGAAGTGTTGTTTTCTAGCAAGACCACGATCCAAAGCAAAACAGCCGAAGCCACGCGGAAATGGTTTAAAGACAACAAGCTGAATGTTCTGGAGTGGCTGAGTCAGAGCCCAGACCTCAATCCTGTTGAGAATTTGTGGCTGGACTTGTAAAGGGCTCACGACTCCCGTGCAGCCTGACAGAAGCTTGAGCCATTTTGCAAAGAAAAATGTGGTAAAATTGCAGTGTCCAGATGGGCCGATAAAGACCTATGCACACAGGCTCAGTGCTGTGTTTGCAGCCAGAGTTGCATGTAAGAAATACTGCCTGGAAGGATGGGGGATGTTTGTGCAATCACTTATTTTGCATTACATGGTTTTATTTAAATGCTTTGTAAAAATCTGGCCACTTTGGTACATTTTTGTCCAAAAAAAACTAATATATTGACCATGATTCAATGTTGAAAGTCAAAAGTGAAAAACTTTCAAGCAAGGTGAATACTTTTTATAGGCACTGTATATTACTGCTGCTTTTGCTGACTGTATGATCCTTCACTGCTGTTACAGTAGCTTTTGGGCATTTTACCATAGCTCTAGCTGTAGTCGCTGCTATTCAGTGAAATTCACACAGTCTTGCTTTAAATATGACAATCACAAATTGAGAAGAGCGAACTCAGCAATCTTGATAATGACTTTTCAACAAACTCCCGTACAAAGTAGTGAGGCATTAATTAGCCAGAATAATATCTTACTGTTCTCTAAATTTAGATAAAACTTTTGGATTAAAAACCGTCATTGTGTGTATATATATAGCTTAATACAGAATAATAGCTGGGATTAGTATCTACTGTTGTAGGGACGAATATATAAAAACAGTAGTGAACATTCAAAGCAGGGTATTTACTCACAGCTGCCAAACTTGAGAGGGCAGGCGTGTGCGTCCATGGGGAAGTCCTCCAGCTGCATGGGGCATTCTGCTGATATGGTCAGTCTAAGACAAAACACATACAGTGCAGTGTGTCGACAACCACGTACATGTAATATTTAACACATTGTGACATTGAGGAGCAAATCAGGTAGTTGGTGAAAGAGCTGAAACAACGCAGCATGCAATTACAACTACAAGTGCTTAATCACAATAATTACAGAGTTAAACACACAATCACAGGGAAGGTGGTTGCTTTACTGTCTTATATCCACCTTTAAGCTTAAGAAGAACTGTTAGGAAGGGAGGATGATTTGACATACATTTTAATCAGCATCAGCATCAGTAGGTAAAATTGGCAGATAATTCATGACGTTTTTCATCTCCAGAACAAGAAAACAATGCTAGGTTACTTGCAAGTACACTCTCTCAGTATTGAAGTGACAACACTACCACCTGGTGGTCAGAGAGTTTCTGTGCTCTGTCGCCACAAAACATAAGGAAACGTTTTTTCTCAATGAACTTTAAGACAAACTCTCATGCAAGTTCTTTTTTATGCCATGTTACACACTTTTAAACCTCAGTCTTATAATGGACGTAATTTGAATTGCAAAGAACTTCATTTGGTCTTATGTTTAATTCACCCACAAAACACAATAATAGGTTGTCAGATTTCATTAGCGGATAGTCATTCAAAGCATGATTTTAGCTGCCATGATAGTACCTCACAGATTAAGAAAATGAACCGCACACACATCATAATTATTCTTTCTTCTTGCTATCTGTCCCAGATTGAATCAAATCCCTCTGGGTGTTTTTGCTCTTTGCATGCTGATAAATAGTAATACAGTGGTGTTAAGATGCAGATTCACTGAAGTTAATGATTAAGAAAAATGTGTGGCGTTGACTTCAAAAGTATATTCTTTTTATATATTAAAGGTCTGGTTGGTTTTGTTTTCGGTTTGAACTATTCAGGCATTCCTCAACATTAGTTACAGATTTGTTCTCCCTAACTGAACTATGTTGTAATCTTAATGACAACTGTGTCGCCGAGGATGTGGTCAAATCCACTCGAGACATGTTTTTATGCTCCAGTACCTCCTGCGTGTACAGTACATGTCTACTGCAGGAGGTTTCCCCCAATTATCGCAAAGGTGCATGAAGCATAACAAAGTGGGATAAGAGGCCACTTCTTGTCCCCACAGAGACAACTGTTTTGGGGCTCAGCTTGCTTTCCACATCAGTGCCGTATTATCCAATTGCGTTACTGTGTCGAAGCAGCTCAAGGATTTTCTGTGGAGGAGAGAAAAGAGTGTCTTTGGGATAAATAAATGAGAACATGGCTGTCGGCTATTATACCATGTTCTAATTATTCCTGTTGCCTTGCCCCATTATCAGGGACGGTTGTAAAGAGACCTAAAAGAATCACTTTAAAGTCAAAAATCTATGCAACTCATTGCAGGTATAATTAAAATATTAGGGTAAATTAGCAGATTAGATTAAATCCGGCGATTCTGTCAGCCCTCTAACCAGTGTCGACAGAGTGGAAAGCCTTACATCACAGGGCTAAAACCCCCAGAAACAGACCGGCAAACGGGCCTCCACACCGATGGGAAATCTAAAGTTTCCAATACGTCTGACCTTGCAGAAAAGTTGAGAACTTGGACAACATGACAAAACAGAAAGGGCTGAGCTTTGGTCTAGCAGCTTTGCTGTATTAACCACTGAGCCACTATGCTGCACCATCTGTCTTTTCACACTAGCACACTTTTTTTTTTTTTTTTTAAATCTCCCACCTTATATTACATACAGTTGGGGTTATATAATGTATCTATGGTGTGAAAAATAACAAAAAGAAGAAGTGTTAGAAGTGCTAAAATGGCTTAAAAAAAAAAAAATAAGGTGACATTTTCAAATAGAAAGCTATAAGTCTGTTGGCAACAGTAGGAGCATGAATGAGAACTCTGCTGTACCAAATGATAATGTAAGGCACTCACTCACTCAGTAATACAGCGGTTTCAACCAGCTGATAAAGCTGCAGCCTATCTGGTATCCGGCTATAATGGCTACCATCAAGCCTGTATACATTAAGCTTGCGGTGTGTTGTGAAAAGTGGCATTTTATGAATTATCCATGGAAACAAATACGTAGAAATTTGCTCTATAATACCAGCTGCTTCTCCTCTGAGTAATGAGTAATGAGGCGGCACCGCGGTTGCATTTAGGAGAGAAAGGGGATGAGCTTTCATTGACACCCGTGTGTATGAAAGAGAGGCTGTAATGACTGTAATGTGCATTTATACGACCGCATGTATGTGCTTCTGTTTCCTGAGTGTGTGCTGTATGTACATGAAGAGCTCCATATATAAAACATCGAGAATCCACTGCGACGTGAATAGCTCCATACAGCATGGATGTATGAATGGATGCCATACAGTATGCTGTAAAAATACATACACTTAGTGTGTGCATGAACCCACTGCATTGATGTAAGACAGTTTTTTACCTGTATAGACTAAAATAGATCTTTATTGTACATCATAGTAAATCATGTGAAGCTGATGTACAGTCATAGTAGGTAATCTGGATTTTTTTCTTTAAATATTCTTGAAACATTAATATAGCAGCAAATAACTATCATATGCATATACAGGGGAGTAATTGTGTCCGTAGCAAAGAATGGCATCAACTCCCTCTATGCATATTATAATCTGAGCTTCTTTGTTCTTTGGTTTAGTCCAGCCATGTGTCCCTGTTAGTGCATGTGAGTCCCTCCCTTTGTTGGCCCTCCCTGCATTTATAAACAGATCGGAAGTGGCCTCCCACAATGTAAAATCAAAAGTCAAGAGCATTCAGCAGTAACCCAAATAGCCAAAGAGTTTTTTTTTTAAAGTATTTTCTTTATGCTATTCACCAAATGTATGTGAACTCAGTGTGAGAGTCTCTATCACTGTTTCCTTCAGTTCTCTGCTCCATTCCATGTGTTCTGTCTTACCTGGACCCATGGTGAAACAGACACACACTGAACTGGAGCAGCAGCAGTAGTAGTTAATGCTAATTCCTTACAGCCATTCAGTGGATTTTTAACAGTGCTAATGTGGGATAATGTTCGTGACTGGATTATGTTTTGTTGGTGTCCTGTTTGTAACCTTTCTGGTTGTAAATGAAAGTGATTGGAAGGATGAGGTGTAGCTGGTGTGTCTGTTTGGTTTGGTCTGAGATGTCAGGACTAGAAAGACACCCAGTGGTTGTAAATTGTGTACACAGCACCTTGATATAATCAGCTTTTTGTTGAGTTGTGACTCATAATGATCGATAATTGTCAAATATGCACTAATTTAACCATCTTATTTATTGTTCTTTGGATTCTCAATCCTCTTTCACTGCTTAAAGAAATATATACCATTTTTTAATCCTCCTAAACATGATGTTGAACTTACGAAACACTTCAGAAGCAGCACTAAATAAGGCTATCTGGATTTCTATTGTGCGATATGTGTTGGGTGATTTCACTGTGAGGTTACCCCTTTTTTTTTACATGTTGGCTTTTGAAAAGGTCAGAAGAGCAGCAAGTGTCTGGTTCGATTCCTAGCTAGAAGCCATTTGCTGCATGTCATTGCCCACAGTTCCTATCTCTCTCCATTGCCATTATGAAATGATGCCATAAAAATACCCAGAAAAACTGTCAAATCAAACAGCATCGTTGCGTATAGATACACAGAAAGATGAAAACAACACCAAAAAAAAAAATCATCTCTCGTGTACATATCCCTTATTTCCATGACAGTACATATGTATTGCGCAAATGGACAAAGAGGAAAGCACTGATGTTAACTGTAACCTGAAAGTACCCAGATGGCCTCTATGTGTGTGTGTGTGTACATGTGCGCAAGTGAATGTGTGTGTCAGTGTGTGTTTATGCAGGAAACAACATCGGTGCCGCCTGTGGTTAAGCTCTGCTGGTAATGACAAGCACAGTACTGTAACAATCAAACGATTAAACGCAACCTACTGCTGCTTCATTTCTACTGTGGCAGGGAATCTGATGCCATTTTTAGATTGTGAAAGCACAGGCTCTCTCTCTTTCTCTCTCTCACACACACACAAATTCACTATATATGTTTTTTTTCATTCTGACATACAGTAAACACATGTATGCATAGATTTCCATAAAATTATACATATGTAAATGAACACACACACACACACACATACACATTCGCGCAATCTCCCACTGGTTAAGCCTCGAGGTCAAAGGTTAGTGTCACTATGACTGATTAGTGCAGGAAACATGCTTGACACCCACAGCGTGTGCGTGGTTTTGTGTTCATGTTTGATGCATGTGACAAGAGGTGCCTATAAATACGCCCTTGTTTGGATATGTATATATGTCAGGGTGCTTGCATATGGATAATCTGCCCGCCAACCAGCATTATTCTCCCTGCGGGTGGCACTGCTATCAGATAGAGTGCTCTCATCCGTGATGCAGTCACTCTTAAGTCCTACAGCTACAGTAACTCCTGAGGATAAGGACAGAATTATTCTAATTCTCTGGTCAAAAGGTCACCTGGTGGTTACTCTTCAGTTCTGCTAGATCATGTGCAATAATTTATCTGTAAGGACTCGTTGAATATGCTATATGAAAAAACACGGCGGTTTAGTTTACAGTGATCACCATCTGGAGTTCACTGTTGGCCTATTTCTTTTGTTTTTTGGCTCTACTTTACCATTCAATTGCTGCCAATAACTATAGTTCACAACGAGGTTGCTTTACATAATGAATGATCTCCCTCTGTAGGTTTTTTTCAATCCCTGCATTTAAAGAGACACTTCACTCTTTTATACGACATCGTCTGCCAATATGAATTCAAACAAACAAACAAACAAAAACAGAGGAAACTTATGTTATTTGGGATATCTCCCTTGTGTTTACATTACATATGGACTTTTCCAGGATGAGTGAAATGCCTCTGATTGGCCACTGGGTGTCACTGTTCTCCTGTAGTTTGAGTCACAATCTGAGGATTTCTATGTTTACTCCCTTGCACTCAAAGCTGTATTGTTCTACATTGACTCAGCTGCCTGTTCACCTCATTTTTCTGTACTCTTTTCTTCACTGTCCTCAATTCACTGAAGAACTGTGAGGCCTACAGAAACACTGCACCTTGAACCTTTGTGCTCATCTGTCGAGAAGGATCAATGCTATTTCTAAATGCAACAAGTGGAGAAATGCAACCTTGGGGCGCCAAGAGCTTTAATTGTGATTTTGTTTCCTGCCTTACCTCATTGTGTAAAGCAGAGTGCCGTCATCTTTCAGCCTCAGCAGCTTGTTGGGCGTGGTCATGTTGTGAGCAATAGACTTCTTGCCATTAAGGAAGAAAGTATCGGGAGTCCATATGTTGCTGGCCAGCAGGTTGTTTAACGGCAGCATCTCCATGGGCCCCTTGAAGCACAGACGCTCGTCCTTCCAGCTCTGACGGAAGAATACGTCGATGGTGTATTCCTGAGACGGAAGAAGAGCAGATGTTTGTTGGGTTTTAAGAAGGCAAAGTGGCAGATTTCTTTATTCATTGGTTCTTTTTCTATGAACAAAAAGACACAAAAATGAGCAACTTTGCACATTTAGCCCCAAATACTCGTGAGGTGAACTTGTGATGTCAGTAAACTGCACACTGCTCTCATGTTTACTAGTCTGTCTGCTCTGGGATCATTTTTTCCCAAAAGATGCTGAACGGATGCCAAGCCCGAAAGATCTTCCTCCGGCTGGAATGTTCATTGCATTTTAAAAGATGGTTGTCTGCTCCACTCGAAAAGCACTTCTTGTGGTGTTTATTTAGCATTACAGCATCATTTACTGATGTCGACTCATAAGATTGGGGTATTTTCTTGAAAGAGTTTCTCAGTAATGGAGCTTTAAATGGTCCTTTTCCTTCTTACATTTTAAAAAAACGTATCTAGAGTTATTTGTACGGAAAGAAAAGCAAATTTAACCGAGCAAAATGGCAAAACAGCTCCCTCTTTATGTCTTCATAAATCACCTTAGATTTTACAGATATAGTGATTAAACATCGTGGTGCATAAATCCATCATGAATCTGCTCATGTGTGAAATATCGACTCGCTTGAAGCTCAGAAAAACAAATGACCAAGAAACAAATACAATACACCACCCCACAGAATAATGACGCTGTTAGCAGGCTGACATATAAGCTTTCATGGAGCGCAGGAACGCTCACATCTCTTGCCACAATTCATTAATCAATCACGCTCCTCTGACAATACCTTTCTCGAGTCGATTATAGCAAAGTGGCAAGTTTGATCACTGCTGTGTCAGAGTGTGCCAGGGATATGGCAGGGTGTAATGAAAGGTTTAATGAAAGAGGAGATTTAATACATTTTGCTATCCAGGTAGAACTTTATAGTTCATAAGAGAGCGGATTAATAAAGAGATGAATCACTTGGAACAAGTTGGAATGGGCCAGCCACGTTGCATTAAATCTTGAAAGTTTAAGTCATCCACATTAATTTCGTCTCATTTGCAAGTTAGCCAAAAAAGAGCCAATCTTCAAAGACACAACTAGGACATGAGTGTACTTCCAGGGAACAGCAGGAGCAGTGGTGCCAGTCTCATGAAATGTAAATATATGTTTCGATCTAAAAAAACACAGACAGTTTTCTAGCTGGGCTTAGAAGACGCGTGTCTATGAGTGTTTGCTCAGCTTAGCCAATCTCTCTCTGTGTATCTATAGTGTTTGCCGTCGATGAACTCACCATCTCGGTGTCGGACACGGGGCCGAAGCTGGTGACAAAAATGTTTGTCTTGATCTCGGTGACATTTTCTGTGGCGAAAGTACAGTTAAGAATGTATGAGGTGTGAGGAGGTCAAAGAGAGGCAATCAAAGGCGTTATAATTTTAGTTTCAATGCCTTCCTTGGATATTTTGGGATTGGACACGAGCGTGTTTAAAAGTAAAAATGACTATTTGCCACATTGCCTTTTAATTGTCCGAGGCTGATCAATATTTACAGCAAATGTCATAAAGAGACCTTTTATGAAGTTGCGTTCGATGTCCAGTCTGAAATATCAGGGGAAGACACTGACTTTCAGAGCATTAATAGAAAAAAAAAACCAGCTGATTGGTTTAAAGATTAACCAATGAATGAATCCATCAAAGTTTCCCACAGCCCAGGTTTATATCTTCAAAAAAATTCATTAAGAATTAACCTAAATAATTATTTGATCAACAAATTCCTAAACAGGCTAATAATACGGCTCCAGTTACCACAAGTATTGGTTACTTCTGACATTGGCGCATGCAAATGGTCAAGATATCGATAAATAAAATCAGTTTATCAATATTAGCAGTGGTCGGAAAACCTTCATCAGCTAAAGCGCAGCCACAGAACAGAGCTTTTTACAAATCCACCCGGTTTCATGATTTCATGACGATGATGTGAAAAGGTGGCACCTCATTTCTATCATTTCCACCAGCAAAATCTCTATGAATATAAATGTGGTCGTGGAAAGCCGGGATTGGTCGCTGCGTGGAGAGCAGCTTGTTGAATGCTGTGAATGAAGGCCCAAATGTTTTTTTTCTGGTATATATTTATAGGCCCTCTTGTCAAGGGTAGCAACCGTTACCAGGATGTGAGAGCAGGCTTTTGCCATGACACATCAGCCTGAAAAAAGCCCTTGTTTCTATCCATTATAGGGCAAGTACTGTATGTACGTGGCAAAAAAAAAGTCTACGCAGAGCTGTGTCATGAGAACCAAATAAAGGGCTTGAAGGAATTTAGTGGAAAATTGCAGTAAGTGCCACATTATTAAAGAAAATAAAAAGCTTTCATTTCAAAAGTCTCTTAGCAAAAAAAGAAAAAAAAAATCTCCCTCTTTGAATGGAAATTTGTTGGCTCTCAAGGTTATCTCCTGTTGCCAGGGTGAGGAGCGTGAATAAAACACCACAGCACACGGAATTCAGGCTGTGTTGAAGATGGCTTGATTGATTTACTCTCCCCGCCATGGCAGCGTACAAGAAGAAGACCGTTCATGATCCTCAGAAAGAACGCGGCATCTGACAACAGCACATGTGCCTTCACCTTAGCTGACGTAGACGAAGTCCAACATCTACTCGCACCGTTTCTACCCCTGTTTCCCATGAACTATATCATTATCTCGGAGGGTCGTATGTGACAATATGATATTAGAATGCTAGATTACTTTCCTGGCGCTGTTTGTGGAACAAAAAAAAAAAAAACGCCCCCAGCAAACCTCCAAGACCCGGCCGGAGCCTGTTGTCGTAGCCGTCTAGAAGCCCATCCAGGATCCTGGTGAAAACCGTGCTGTTGTCGTTGGGGCCTGTCTCCTTCTGAGCCTCCGAGGACGTCTGGCAGAGACTAGGAAAGGAGAAGAGATGAAGGAAGGAAACAAGAAAGAAACTCTGAGAAGAACCAACATCCTGGCATTTGTTAAACTGCAGCACGTCAAACGTGACATGGTTATTGTGATTAATTAGCTTGCTGCGTTAAGGACAAGGCTTGTTGTGATTAATTATTGAACATAAGTACTGCTTACAACTACCAGTAGAGATAATTAAGGCTTTGACATGTGATCCAAATACAAACAAATGAGTTCCCCCCTCTAAATATGGCCAGAAGAGAGGCATTATGTCTGGAGGATGAGCACGTTCTTTGTCGCTGGGAAATGAGGAAAATTACACTCACTGCATTCATGCACAGAAAAAAAAAAAAGATCTACCAGGGAGAGACATTGGAGAAAGGTTAGATAGTAGATTTGAACATGTGATCTAAAAGCCATCGATCTACCGGATGAGAGTGGACTATCCCAGTGATTTACTGACAGCTTTGCCAAAGATCTCTTTTGCTTTTCTTGAGTGCAGGACGGCCACTTAAGCAGTGCTGTAGCAGAGTGCGGCTGGGATATGCAATCAATCACAGCGGTGAGGGCAAAGCTGGCAGGAACCCTCGGCAGAAGATGCATGAAATTCCAAGAGTTTCATTTGCTAAATTGTGGTTGGCGGGTCAAAATTTGCGACGATGCTGCTGAAAATTAAACTTGTCCACTTTCATGTTAAATCCAAAGCTGTGGACTTTAGGAAGCAGATCAAACATTTTAAAAAAACAGTTTGACATGTGTTACCTATTTTGGCATCCGCACAGGAGCAGGAGGGAAAGGACGAGCCTGGCCATGGCTGAAATTCTGCTCACTTTGTGGTTTGAAGCTGTAACACACGTCCACATGTAGAAAGACACGCAAAGAAGAAAAACTGCATCACAGAATGTCTAGATTACCTTCAGCCACAGCATGAAAGACTCCCAACAAGGCACCAAAACCCAACATAAGGAAACTCTTTACCTCACTGCATACACAGACAGACCATTACAGGAATCACTAAATCAAGCAACGGGACAATCTCTGCTCAATGAGGCTGCAATCTGCAACTCTCCAACATCCTAAACGTGTACCTCACAAGCTGGAGAAACAGCACAAAGGCTCAGAGATCATATAGAAAAGACAAAGGAGGGGGAAAAAAATTGGCAAATTATTTTCTGCAGTATGATTCCCATTGTGTAAAGCTTCTACTGCGTTTGAAAGCGGCGCATTACAATTCATATGGGCCACCCCCCCTTCTCCCTTTCCCCTCTCCTCTCCTTCACCATCACCTTTTTTTCACTCTCTCCATCACCAAAAAAAAATGATTCCTATTTGCCATGCTGTGTATAATTAGAAAAGCTAGAGGGAGAAAAGAGAGGGGGGAGGCTACCTGAATGCAGATCCATCACCACCAGGGTCTATTTTGTTTGTCTCCCCCCTCCAACAGCGACTGGAGGCTGGGGGTCTCCGTCGAATCTGGACGATCAGGGGGTTCAGTCACCTTATCTCCGTGCTTGTCGGTTGTCTCCCCTCCTTCTTCTCTGTAGCTTCTCCTCCTCTCTCTTTCTCTTTCTCTCTCTCTCTCTCAGTCAGCGACTCCCCATCTGTTGTAGTAGTCTGTCTGCTCCTCTCCTCCTATAGGCTTCGCCGCCTTTGCTTCTTTTACTGCCTTGCTGCACCGCGTCTCCCGCATCGCCTCCAGAGGTGTTGCAGCAGCAGCATCAGCATCAGCATCACTCGGGCTGCCTGCTCGGTGTCGTCCGCCAGCCTCCTAACACAAGACTGGATTCGCTCCACATTTTTTTCTCCCCGTGTCTTTTGCTCTACCGCCTACTGCCGGTGCGAGAGAATGAAGTGCCGCAACGGAGGCTAATAATTTTAAAATAGGTGCTCCCCATTGGTGGGCTGGGAGGAGGAGGAGGCGCGCCGCCGGTGCAGCTGATGGGAACAAAATCAGGTGCGGGCTTCAAGCCCTGCTCCTCACTTCAACAGCTTTAATCCCAAGTGAGGCCGTTGAAGAAGCTGATAAACCACCAGAGCTTCCTCAACTTTTCTCAGATGTGATCAAACTACTTTTACAGACAAACTGAATGTCATTAAACACCAAATAAATTACTGTTTCCATGCAACCTCCTGGCATCCAGCCCACTTAGAGCAATTTAACACCATTTTGTCCATTAGCTTAATTTCAACCATCTATAGCCAAGACTTCTAATTATATATGAACATTTATCAGCTTCATTTAGCTTAAAAAAAAAAAAAAAAAAACTTCACTTTTAGCTTTCAACCATTATTCCAATGCATTTTAGCTATTGTTAGCTAGTTTAAACGTATCCATTGTATTTAGCTAACTAGTGCTAATTGAGTCATTTATCCATGCTTCTAATGATTGAATTTCCCTTCTGGGATAAATAAAGTTTTGTTTTTTTTTTCATTTCTTGCTAATTATCTCCTTCAGCTCCTTACTCAGCTATCTGTTACAATCAAGTCTCTATTACTTTTTACCTTTCAGTCAGTTGTTCCTTAAAGTTAGCCAACATTAGGCTAATTAGTTTAACTATTACAGCACTTTAGCTACTTTTAATGCTAGCCAACTGTTTCAATCATTTACTTTTAACAAACTAAAATAAAAAATATTAATCAAAAAAACGTTAACTGTTGCATGTAGTTAGCTATTCAACGGTTCATCGTTTATGTTTTAGCTATTTTTTTTCAGCTCTCTAGTGCTTTTTCTATCCTTTATGCATTTCTTCATGCGCTATTAATGTAATAATAAGCTCCTTACACTGTTTATTTACTTCTAGGTGATAATTTCAACCATTAAATTCGCTTCCTTTTCCTTATCTATAGCCTTTTTAACATGTTTTACTTCTTTATCTCTAAAAACTCCCAACTGTAAAGGTTGTGTTGATTCATCGTAGCTGAGCTACTCTACAGTAGAGGCATTATTCTTTTCTCTTTTTTTCTGTTTTTCTTCTAGTGGAAATTATTTATGTGAAAGAAAAGCTTTAATTCAGGCACCAGGTGATGATTGAAAACATAATGGAATATAATGTGGACACCCAGTGTTCCATTAAATACGCCTTGTTGATCATTTAATGATATCTGTGCTGCACCAACACACATGAAGGCATGATTTACTTTTTTTTTCTCCGCTTTTGTGTCTTTTGTGTCAGGGGTGTTTAAATGTGGCACATCTTCTCATCAATGATAAATTAATTCAGTGTAGCTCATGAAAAAAAGACTTTAATGTCCAAAACTTTTACACACATATTTCTGTTTTGGAATTTTTTTTTGGAATGAAAACAAAAATACGATTTATTTTTGGCCATAACTTAAAGAAAATAACCACTCAAAAAAAAAAAAAAAAAAGCCCATTGAATTACCCACGTTGTTGGCTTTGTGACTTCTATGAGTAACGTTGCAGCCCCTTTTCAAAATAAAAGTCCTCTGCTTCTGTTGTCTTTTTATTCCGGTGTCTTTAATATTATATAAACATAAGTGGGGTTGATGGTCTGCTATCAACATGATTACAGACAAAGATAATACTAACGAGTCAGTAAAACAACACAGAGCCATCAAAAAAAGTCATTTATTTGCATTAGTCAACTCATTATTTTTATTTTTTTTAGTACCGTGCCATCATCTCCCATTAAACAAGTCCTCCTCAAAGTCCTTATTATCCTGACGGTTGCCATAAGAGGGTAGCCGAGCTCCACGTTTCGTAGACAGTAATTAGTGTGCGATATTTAACCTCCCTCCACTCTTCCTTTAATCCGTGCGGAGATGCAGCGTGTGGACGGGAGCCGGCAGAGAGGAGTCAGGAAACGGCGGCAGCAGTCTGCGCCCTCGGGAGCTGCGTTTCAGCACCAGGCCTGGTGCGGACAGCAGCTGCTGCCGAGTGATGATGATGATGATGACTGGTTGGACAAGTGTGTGTGAGTGAAGGAAGGGGAAGATCCAGAGGCGTGTGAGAGTGAGTGTGGATGAGAGGACAGGGGGTTGAAGAGAGAGGGGGGGCTGCTCCTAGAGGAAATCGACTGCCTTTCAATATTTGCCCCGCAGGCATCCTCCTGTTTTACATCCCTGCTGTACTGTGCAGAACCACAGGCTGCACAGATCAATCAAGTCCAACAATAAATGAAGCACCACGACTCCAACACTTGAATAATAATACATAATAAGCACAATAAAGCCAAGAAATCATGAACAGTGGCACCTCGCATCACTAAATCTCCCCAGATGGCTCCTGTTTGTCTCTATAGTTGTGACAGAATGACAAGTGTTCTCATTGGCCACAAGCTATTTTATAATTAATGATGTCATCACCTTTTTTTTTTCCTTCTTTCTTTCAGGAATGCTGTTGACGGAAACAAGAAGTTGTTCGCCATCTATGACACGAGGTATGAAATGTCACACACACGCGCATTGTCCCTTAATGAGGCTCTCCAACTGTGCCGCGCGTACACGCTGGCGCGCGCCCGCGCTCCCTAATTATCCTCGGGATTTTTTGACCTGAGCTTCAATATTGCTCGAGCTAAATAATTTATGGTGTAGCTCCACATTTGAGATCAGGAAAAACAGGCCATTATAGACGATTAACAGGCTAATCAATCACGAGCATCGATTAATAGGTTGATAAATGCAGCCTGTCCACACCAGATATTGTTCAGGTCCCGCCATTTTTATAGGAAGCACAGGGGAAGGGGATTGGCGCAGATGGTGCGGGGAGCACTGTAAAAAATGTCAATTTTAAGGGGGGAGTTTGGTGTCGTGTTGCTTGGTAGAAGGCAGTTGCTTGATTGGAATAGTCTTTTTTAAATAATGTAAAAAAATAAAATAGAGTCTTGAAATTGAAATGATCTCACCAGAAAAAAAGACAAATTAAAGGCACACTTTGCTCATTTTTAAACACAGAGTTCAGAGTCATGTTTGTTTGTTTGTTGTTGAAACACATTTACCAGTCAGGAAAAACCTGCTTTTGAGTTTGATGTTAATTTTGAATAATTTACTGTTATTTTACAGATTTTATCTGTTTTGTTAAATTATAGATAATAACTATTAAAATCCCAAAACATATATATTAAATTACATGTTATCTATAAAAACACAGGACAAAACTCTAAATACCACCCACATCAACATTTTGTATTTTTATTAATGATATTTTTTTTGTTTACATGTTTGACCTTAAAATTGCATCATTTCTTTTACCCATTTTAAATAAACAAAAATCTAATTATTATACAAGTATTTGCCCTCATATGAAAATAGAGTATATTAAGGATTGAAAAATGGTAAATACATCTTTAAACTGTTGTTTAAAACACATTTCTTTTTATTGAATTACAAATGATATCTAACAAAATCACAGATAAAAGTAATAAATGGCAGACTTAGTGTTAAAAAAAGAGGCTAAAACCATAAATAATGTCTGCTTTGAAAAATCTATATATATATTTTTTACCAGTAGTTTAAAAAAAAATATTTATAAGAATAATTTAAATATAAAAAAATGGATATTTGCTATTATTTTCCTCGTATTTTGCTACTTTTTTTTTTTTTAAGTTTCTGTATTTAACTATTTTTTACATATTTTTTCTGGAACCTTTGCTGCCCAATTGTCACCATTTTTTCCACAGGATTAATTTTTTTTTACAGTGTAGGATGAAGCGTTTTTGAACAAATAATCAATCTATCTCAGGCTCTGCTGCTGTAGTTCTGACCATTCCTTTTGTAGTATGTCTCTTGGGAGTCCTGCTACTTAATGAAAGGGCATTTCTAAAATGACCCCAGTCATCCTTTTAAACACTCACATCCTGAAAATACACAAAAGACTTATTAGGAGCAATAAAAATAATTTAAAGAAAACATTGGAAATTGAGTTAATTTGCCTTAGAATGGAAAGAAACTGAATAAAAAAAAAAAAAAAAAGCTTGAATCCACAGAGGACACAGTGCAGCTACTGGTGGGTATTTTTTACAGTGTGTTAAGTGTTGGGCTTCGTCTCTCATTTGAAACGAGCCGAGTGCCTTCACCGCCACCAGCAGCAGCAGCAGCAGCAGCAGCAGCATCCCCTGTATGTTCCCTCCTCATCAATATGCGCTTCAGCTCCTGAATGTAAGAGCCTCTCGCACAGTCAGAGACGGCAAAGAAAAGCGGAGCCAATATTCATGGCAGGGAGGCGATGTCAGCCCATATTTCACATCTGACTCCATCCACGGCGAGCTGCTGACTTTTACGCGCCTCAGTCGACTTTCTCCTTTTTGGGCAATCAATGGATTTACTCTTGATTTGAGGAGCGTCCGGAACCGTCTGTTGATTGAGGGGGGCTGTTGTTGTTGTTGTAAACAACGAGAGAAAAAAAAAACCTAACAAAAAAAAAAAAAAACAGGAAAGGGGGGATGTTTGCTTTGCAGAGGGTTCGTCAATTTCGCGTCTTGTCCGCACTGGTTGTCGGTTCGATTGTGTGTTGCGCAAAAAGGTGAGTGCTTTATTGGAGAAGTCAAGGTTATTGGCCGGGCTGATTGGTACAGGAGTCAAGGTGACGCTTTCTCTTGTGTGTTTTTCTGCTGTCATTTCAGCGTCAATGAACCGGGCAACATGTCTTTCGTGAAGGAGACGGTGGATAAACTACTGAAGGGATATGACATCCGACTGAGGCCGGACTTTGGAGGTATGCGCCGCATTCATCCCCCCTCCCCTCCTCCCCACCACATTAATCCTCAGCTTTATTTTTGGCGCCATTCACAGTGTTGTGGTCAGGTGTAGAGGTGTAGGCCTATATGCATAATCAGCTGTTTAACCTCTTCCAGGAGCCCCTGTTGCAGTGGGCATGAGCATAGACGTGGCCAGCATAGACATGGTGTCAGAAGTCAACATGGTGAGTGGATTTACATCACACAAGCCCTGTCACTGTGTTTACTCGACCATGTAATGCATGCAGTCCTGCCCCTGTCTCACCGCTGATACACTCATGCAACATGATTTCCTTGCTTACTTGGTATAGTAGGAAGCTTTTTTTTTTTCCCTCCCGCTCAGGCCATTATGTGATGGTCAGATGGATGGGCTTGGTTTCCTGTAAGCAGTAGAACTGCTTTATCTCACACTCTGCCAGCACCTTACATACACAGAAGCCTGGGTGTAAAGAAAAAAACAAAAAAGAACATAATACAGCTCCCTGCTTCTGTTTCCAACAATGCTGATCCTCAGCCAGTAGCATCGACTCACTTAGGGAACAGATTAAAGCTGCTGCCATGACTTTACAATCAATACAGTCCACGTACAATGCATGTGCACACTAAAGACAAGCATAACGTTTGGAGTGGAGAGCGTTGCGTTTAAATCTTTTTTATCCGCTGAAATTGACAGCCAGACGAAATCAGCGCTCTCCCTTTGCTCTGCTTGTTAACCTCCGGTGCCACAGTTAACAGTGTCCTCCCGGGAGGCCCTCTGAGCAAACGGCTATCAGGGAACTCTGATTGGATTTGCTAATTTGTGAGCTGTATGGAATTTTTTTTTCCTTTTTTTTTTTTTGTTGACACGTGTACCCACATGCAGGAGAGTAACTTCAGGCTATTATATCTTAAAATACCAGCCGATGATGACCCAAATTGCACTGGGAAACGAGTGGCAAAGTGTTGCCTGCCAGTGGCTATGTTTCCCTATCATTTGGAGACACAAAAAAAAATCTGATTTAAGACTCTGGACTTTGTAATTGGTCTGGATTTGTGGCATTTACCTGCTCCCTGACTCCAGATCAACGCCTCTGCACGTTTCACAGACCGCCGCCTCTGCGCGTGTAACCATTATGACTTTTATTAGAAATGATGACTGCCGAGCCCGTGTGATTTCACAACAATGCAGAAGATTGCTGCAGTCAAGGCCGGGTCAGTGATAAATGCAGTCGTTCACACTGGGACCTCTATATGTGGACATAATCAACTCAGATGTCATGACGATGGACAGAACATCATTTCACACACATAAAGATGATGCTGTCCTGGTCTGTTACAGAGAAGAAGAGCTAGATTTACAATCCACAGTGCATTATTGGACTGTGTGTGTGTGTGTGTGTGTGTGTGTGTGTGGGTGTTGATCAATACTAATGACTCAATAATTACTTTACCAGGTAATTCCTGGCTTTGACAACTCACATTCCAGGCAATGATCCGGTGCTCTACGCACTTTTACAATTCAAAACTCCTCCAAATGAACCGTTTCTTTTTTTAAAGCAGTGCTACCTTTTACTATCACAGAAGTGTTGAAACGCCGGTCGAGGGTGAATGACATGCTTCAAATCCCGAGCCCTGTGAGTGATTCGGTTCAGGCAAGAAAGATTCTGAGTTGTGACTGAGTAGTCAAAAAAAATTACGTCTTTTCCGAAACGCTTTTCCTCGACCTCGATGGAAAACGGTCAAGAAAAGCTGTGAAGGAGAGTTCATAAGGACGACTAAGAGAATCTGACTGCACCGACACTACAGGCTGTGTCGTCACGTGACGGTGTCTGTTGTGGGTCTGCCACGGATGGTGCGTTGCTTTGATTGTTGCTGCTGCAAGGAATTGTGGGAAGGCGTTTTTCAGCGTATCCTATGGTAAAGGAGATAAGAAAGAAAGCATTGAAGCACCTTTCCCCTTTCATTTAGAGAAGTCGATCAGCTCTTACGGTGGCTGCCGCGGGTCATTTCACTCGGTTAGGGACCCTCCTCAGACTTTTCAACCACAACCCTGGTGTTGATTAAAAGTTACGTGTCTCATGCTGCACATCATTATTGATTAGTGCAAATCAGACCAGTTTTGAGAATAACTACGCAGCTGTTGTCGTAATTGAGTCATCTGTCATTCTTCAAGAAAAAACATGACCCAGTTCTAGTTATCCATTTGTGACAATTAGCTGTTTTTTGGTTTTACATGATAGTAGATTGATAACAAATTTAAATATCGACTTATTTGCCAAATATTTTCTCAATTAATTGATTAAAATTCTGACTATTATACGTCCAAAAATGGTTCAAAAATACCAATTGGTGTAATGTTAGATCTCCAGGTTGCTGGTTTTGTCCGACCAGCAGTCCTCAAGATATTCAGTTTAGTATCATGTAATACGTACAAAAATAGGCAATACTTACAATATAGTTGACAACTGTGCTTAAAAAATAACAAATGCTGATTATTTTTCTGTCAGCCAGCTAACTGTTGACTTATTGTTACAGCTCAACAAACAAGGCTTCAACTTCAGCTCTGGCTGCAGGAAAGTTTGCATCATTTTCTGTAATTTGCTGATCTAAGTTGTAGTTTTCAAGTAAAAGTCACGTGATGAAGTTGTGATAAATAGATTGAGAAAGGATATAACAAAGCAGCACAGAGGAACCTGTCTGCAACCACAACAGCTCCTGTTCTACATGCCTGTTCTAGCTAAATGTTCCCCAACAGAACATTTTACTTCCCAAGGTTTGGGACTAGCAGCCACTGATCTTCTTCTCTACAATGCATCTTGTATGCTTCATAATCTGTTCATTTTACTTACACAGTTTATACACAAAGTAACGCTGACTCAAAAATATTTTAGCCGTCTAGTGTTTCAATGCATCATATTATAAACATAATGAGTGGTATGGATTGTATTCATATTATTCTAAGGCTTTGTTTTATGTCTTTTACAAAATACTGTAATTATTATGCTAACATTCTAACAAAATTATCAATTTTCAATCCTTCTTGTGTCGACTTTATCAAAGAAAAGGTCTAATAATTACTTCTAAAGCTTTAGCTGTGCACAATGCAAACTGGATTTCATGAATATATATCTGTTGACATATTAGTCAGTAAAAATAGAATAACCTAAACACGATATGACAACATAGCCAGCTTTGTACTTAGTAGACTAGTGAAAGAAAATATTTGTATAAATGTGACCCGTAAAGCACCTTACTTTTTATTCAGTTTGATGTTTGAAAGGTTTGCACAACTACTACAGTCTATTCGTCAGTGAGAATGAACGACCAGAGGAGTTTAGAGGTAACCGGTTGGTGGTTGAGGCTGGTGAGTCTCTGGAAACAGGTGAGTTATAACAACACAGCACACATTGTCGAAGCTCTCTGTAAGCTGCCGCTGCGTCATGTTGAACTCTGCTGTTAACGTTATTATAAGCTACTGGTTGTCTGGATTATGTTGTACAATATCGCCTCTTCTTTTTGGTGGTACTTTTTTTGCACATGGGGTTATTAATTGTAACGATGCATCGACGCGGTCGCCATTTTGTTACGTACGTCACGTCTGTTCACGAACAATAACGAGTCGCCGAATTTTTAGCCACATTTCGGTCTATTTATTACAAAGTCAGATATGTGTCAAATGTACAAATGTTCTTGTAAGTTAGTGCAATATTTAAAGAGCAACTTGCTGACTGGAGTTAATTAATGTGTAGGAAAATGAAGCAGGGATCAGATTTTTTAAATCAGCACGTTCAGATGTGAACGACAAAAGCACAACTTGGTGGGGAGAGTAGACAAGCTAGTTTAACAATAAGAAATGTGGGTCGAGCTGTGAACTATAACAACAGAGTAGTTTCTGTAACATCATTTTTAAACCTGCCACCCTATTTCTGACACTTGAGAGGTCGAATGTGTAGATTCATGATGGACTACAGATATCACAGAGACCTGGGTGAGGCAAAAAATTGTAAAAAATTACAGCCTCAGTGAGAAATGAATGTGTGATTTGTGTGTCTTGATGAGTACATGACGCTTCATAACCTTAGCTGAAGTTGTGTTGTATCTCAGTGCCGTAAAGTTTGCTATCACATATGAGGACATAACACAACTGGGACATCTTACTCGTCTAACTTAAATCAACACTACGATCTGTAACCTTTGCTGCTGCTGCCGGTGCGAGAAGCTGCTGCTGATTGTGACACTGAGGCGGCGGTGTGCACCAAAAGGAATAGAACCAGCTATCAGTCTCACACAGTCCTGATTTAGACATCCCATCAGATCCCTGGAAACTTAATCCTCCTGTCTGAAATGAGTGCTGCGGACGACTGTGGTTTTCTTTATATATGACACAGTGAAGTTTCTTTACCTGCACAGAACTGGTCCAGGCATTAAAACAGCTTCACTGTTAGGAAAAAGTGTGGACTTGCTTGCAACCTGTACAAACACAATACTTCACCTTAATGAAATTTGTTACTTGGCAAAAATAGAACAACTTTCTAAATCACAGCCTGTCAGACTCACGACTACTTTGGACTGCACAGTGCGCTGACACACAGACGTATTCCTTATGTGGCCTAATGTGGCCAAAAGTGACAAAAAAGGTGATTTTAAGAGCACTGCTTACTTTTTATCTGTATTTCTGCCTTTATGTCTCAGAAAACATGTAAAATCATGTGTTACCTTTTCAAACAAGCATCTCCAAGAACTATAAATTTAGTGAAAATTCAACTTGCAGGTTGCTCTTTAAGATGTACTTACCCTTTGTCATTAACATCTAAGTATATTTTAGCTGCATTTTGTAAATTTTAATTGACTTGCTTATCCCATTTCTGACTTTATAAACCCGGAATAGCTGCTCTCACGCTCGAGATTTTTTTTTATCTGAGTGAGACCTTCTCTTGGTTTACAGTATGTCACAGGTCAAACAAATATGATATAAATTGAGGAGCTAGGAAGCAGGTTCCCTGGTCACGAAAATGATAGTTGTAAGCCTGCTTTTGCCTTTTTAGTATTTAACCAAGACCGTGATCTTGCACAAACCTTAACCAAAAAACTTAAACAAAACCTTTATTGCAACATGAATTATGTTTTACTTACTTCTAACAGATATAGTATTACTGGAACCACAGATGACTTTGATTTGGAAACAACATGATGCATGCATTTGCTG